CTGTCTCTTTGTATATCAATCATTTCATTTTACACTGACTTTTAGATGTGTATATCGGGGGCCAAGATCTTTTTAAACTTATTTTTGACTTTGTTTTTAATATTTAAAGTTCCAACTGGCAACATATTTTTCACTCTGATGTTGTATTGTGTTTCATCAAACACACGATTCAGAAAATTCTGCTAGCTCAGATTGTTGCCTTTTAGGATAATAACTCTGCACTATTGTAAATTACTTTATTTTAGCTTGAATGTTGAATTTTTCTGATCAAATTGACAATCATCAAATAAATACAGAACATTATCAAGCGTGGAAATGCCCCAAAACTTTTTTGTTTGTTGATTTCCACACAAATATTTTGACGCAACTACAATGCCTCAGTTATTCTTGTTTTTCTTCACTTTCACACATAACACAGGATTTCGCAGTGAGCGGAAAATTTACTGTCTCAATGTGTTCCCTATACATGGAATGCAATTTGTTCTAGTTCATTTCTTTGCAGTCCTTATACATACATGCCACCTTTGTGTTTTCCAGGTGTCAGCATTAAACTGGGATCAGAATGAAGAATATGAACAGTTTGCAGGTGACACTGTATGTTGCCTGATGGCTATATGACAATATTAAATAAACTAGCAGAAAATATAGATATCACGTTGAACACAGAAATCACAGACATAGATTATGGAGGTGAAAATGGTGTTGTACTACGCACAGAAGATGACACAGTTTATCGTTGCTCAAAGGTTTGTGAACTGAAATCTACAAGTTTTAATATTAGAATATTATTGACTATTTTAGTGATGTTGCTGACCAACTTGGTAGTGTCACTGATCAGCTTGGTGGTGTCACTGACCAACTTGGCGGTGTCACTGACCAACTTGGTGGTGTCACTGACCAACTTGGTGGTGTCACTGAATAACTTGGTGGTGTCACTGACCAGCTTGGTGGTGTCACTGACCAGCTTGGTGGTGTCACAGACCAACTTGGTGGTGTCACTGGCCAACTTGGTGGTGTCACTGGCCAACTTGGTGGTGTCACTGACCAACTTGGTGGTGTCACTGACCAACTTGGTGGTGTCACTGAACAACTTGGTGGTGTCACTGACCAACTTGGTGATGTCACTGACCAACTTGGTGGTGTCACTGGCCAACTTGGTGGTGTCACTGGCCAACTTGGTGGTGTCACTGGCCAACTTGGTGGTGTCACTGGCCAACTTGGTGGTGTCACTGACCAGCTTGGTGGTGTCACTGACCAGCTTTGTGGTGTCACTGACCAGCTTGGTGGTGTCACTGACCAACTTGGTGGTGACACTAAACAACTTAGTGGTGTCACAGACCAACTTAGTGGTGTCACAGACCAACTTGGTGGTGTCACTGACCAACTTGATGGTGTCACTGACCAGCTTGGTGGTGTCACAGACCAGCTTGGTGGTGTCACAGACCAACTTGGGGGTGTCACTGACCAACTTGGTGGTGTCACTGACCAACTTGGTGGTGTCACTGACCAACTTGGTGGTGTCACTGGCCAGCTTGGTGGTGTCACTGGCCAGCTTGGTGGTGTCACTGACCTGACCAACTTAGTGGTGTCACTGACCAACTTGGTGGTATCACTGGCCAACTTGGTGGTGTCACTGACCGACTTGGTGGTGTCACTGGCCAACTTGGTGGTGTCACTGGCCAACTTGGTGGTGTCACTGGCCAACTTAGTGGTGTCACTGAACAACTTGGATCATGTCAACATTACACTGAGCAACTTCAACTTGTTTATGTACTTGTAATGATTCTGATTCTCATCATCTTTCATAACTAAACCATTTCACTCCTACTTCCTTTAATCTAGGTCATTGTGACAGCACCACTAGCATTACTCCAGAAAGACAAAATATCCTTCCATCCAGTTTTAACAAAGAAAAAAAAAGAAGCCATCAAGAGTCTTGGTGCAGGAATCATAGAAAAGGTTTGGTAACTTAGCAGTACAATTCTTCCAGAATTACGATTATCCCACAAACAGAAGCAATGAATGTACATGTAAACTGTTGATGATCAGTGTTCTCTCGAGGAAAATAACACAGCCTAAGTGGGCAATTTGCATAACAATGAATATGTTAATCAACTATGGTATTTACTGTTATGATCATTTAACTATTGTTACTCAAAAACTAGAGAGTGCTCTGGGCAGTACCCTTATATTGTTGGCTGTTTTTTTGTTTGCATTCAAAACTATGGCTATTTATAATTATACTTGTTTACAAACAAGGTTTATTCTACTATAGGTGCTCGTGCTATGTGTGATATATTTGCTCTATTAGGAGTGCATCTTTAATCCAAAATTGCATTTTTAATCCAAAATTGCATTTATTATGTACTGAATAATTAGAATACAACTTATTTTGTCCTTACATGTAGGCACACCACTGTCATTTACATAAGCATGTACTAATAAAGCATCCAACGTTAATAGAAGTTGTGGTAATAAGATGTGACATCATTTTTTTTCTGTTTCACAGGTTGCATTTAAATTTCCGAGGAGGTTTTGGGATGAACGAGTAAAAGGAGCAGATTTTTTTGGACATATTCCCAGTGATACAAAAGAACGAGGATTGTTTGGTATATTTTATGATATGACACCAAAGGTATGTTACATAACTCCTAATAATTGTACATATGATTTTATTTATGTATTTAGATACAGAACGTCTTGCATGCATTTCGGGTATTCTTTTTAGCTCCGCTGTCGACTTTGTCGAGCGGAGCTTATCATATGAGTGATTGTCCGTCGTCGTCGTCCGTGTCAATGTTTTACTTTTTCGACTTCTTCTTGAAAACTACAAGCCTGAATGCTTTGATACTTGGTGTATATGTACCTTGGGTAGACCTCTCTTAGATTTGTTCATTTCATGTTGATATCTTCAATTCTCTAATTTTGGTGAATATTTTTGTCATTTTTGGTAAAAAGTGATATTTTCGACTTCTTGTTAAAAACCGCAAGTCCAATTGATTTGATACTACATATATAGGTACTACATGTGGACCTCTCTCAGATTTGTTCATTTCGTGATGATATCTTCAATTCTCTAATTTTGGTGAATATTTTTGTCATTTTTGGTAAAAAGTGATATTTTCGACTTCTTGTTAAAAACCGCAAGTCCGATTGCTTTGATATTACATATATAGGTACTACATGTGGACCTCTCTCAGATTTGTTAATTTTGTGATGATATTTTCAATTCTCTAATTTTGGTAAATATTTTTGTAATTTTTGGTAAAAAGTGATATTTTCGACTTCTTGTTAAAACCAATAGTTCAATTGCTTTGATATTACATATATATATAGATACTACATGTAGACCCTTCTCAGATTTGTTCATTTTGTGATGATATCTTCAGTTCTTCTATTT